CGCGTTGAATTTAGGTTGCGTTCTCCTGTCTTCTAGCACAATTATTGATGCATATTATTGGTGAGGCCGATTTATTTGTCTACCCACTATTCTTAATTTTTTCTCCGATAAGCATAACTTTCAGTCTACCTTATTTGAATTGTGGAACGCGATGCATATTTTTTAGTCCTAGCCGTCACTGCGTTAAAAGCACACATTCGAGACCGTCAGGGGGAAGGGGGAAGCTTATTTATAGTCTTAGATATTCACCTCCAAAATCCTGCTCTCCGTCACTTTGACTAATTTGCGGGGATACTATTAAAGATCATGAGCGCAAGGTAGTTACTAACCGCCTTGTTTCTGAAATTCACCAAATCTGAAAAGATTTATTTACTGTTGAATTCTCCAAACGTTTATCCACAGTTAAAAAAAAATCAAAGAAAGAAGGTAAATTTCGACTGTAAATGATGTACTTCGCGACTCATTGAACAGTGATAATTTAACCTTGCAGGTACGACAGAAAGCAAACAAAAAGCACCAGATGCGTGAAGTCCATGTGTGCTGGCAAAATGAAACAAGAAAAATTATTGACATTTGAACTACTTTTTATTAGAGAGATTAAGATTCGCGTTTACGGCAAACGTCAGATCCAAGTTGAGAACTTCTCAGAATAGAAAACTAGGGGTACCTTCCGGCAAGTGCCAACGAGGCGAATTCGTTTATCTTTTGTGGAATGTGTCTATTCAGATCTTCGCGATATTTTTTTTCATAATTTTAGAGGTTTAAAATGGATTCCGCTATATAATTAGAAAAGGATGGCACCCAACTTCAAAACAACAACTTTGGCACACTCTAGGCTGTCACTTTTATTAAACAATAACAACATAGCTTGAAGCTTTGGTGGTAAATATGAGCTAGTTAGCACTTATGTTTGATGGAAAATTCCATTGTATCAAAACTATAAACGTTAGAAAAAAATATATAGTTCAAATGAGGCCTTTGACGGCTGAAATTAAAAATAATAATTAAATTCTGAGCAACAGCGTCATCAGGGATAAGAAAAATATTTCGCGTGGTAATTTACATAAGAAAAAATTGTTGTAAAGTAAAATGTGTGAAAAGCGCAAGAAAGGGGCGGAATGTGTTAGACGTGTAAAAATATAAATTTGAATAAAATACAAAGATCTGATGAGCTAGTGTCACAGGACAAAGAGTGTCTTGACAGGCATAATGATAGTCTTCAAAACAAAAGATCCGCAAGTTCGTTGCATTGCTCACGAGAGTTTTGGGCTGTCTCAATGTAAATCGAGCAGCAAAAAAACATGGTGGTTGATAAAATCTGTCGAAAGACATAAATAAATTCTAACAAAAGGTCCGCAAATACGTTGCATTCCTGACGGGAAGTGAGGACTGGCTCAATGTAAATCGACCTGCGAAGAACACGCTGGTTCTGATAAACGTTTTGAGAATATAACCCTATACCTTGATCAACTACCGCTTAAAATTCAATTCACGAAGGAAAAGAGAACACTGAAAACCCTGGTTCTGAGTCGAGAAGCGAACACGCTACCTCAATGTAAGTCGAGCTGCAAAGAACAAGCTGGTTCTGACAAAAATTTGAGTAAATAAAACCTATTCCTTGATCAGCTGCTGCTTTAAACGCAATTTATAAAGCAAACCACAGCAGTAATTGCCCTTTCAAACTAGAAATCGTATAAAAGCTTCCTCACCTGTTAGGTCCTCTAGAACACACAACGAATAGCTGCACACTGAATCACCCAATTTCGGACCACGAGGTTCGAGTTGTAAATACAATACCATGACGTCACTACCCAAATATGGGGTCTTACTTACACCCAAATATGGTCAAAAATGCAAAGTTTAGAGGGTTACGCAGAATTTGAGAGTTTTTGCCTACATTGCGCGACGTTATAATTCTGCCACCGAGTCAACCTCGCTTCTTAGCTCGTTGCCTCGTTGGCGATAAGTAGATAAAAACTGTCCAGGACAATTGTTACGGATAAAACTGGCGTGAAACTACTTATTTTAGTGTAGAAATAATAAATAGTAAAAGACAATTACAGGGGGAAACTTGATCACGTGGCACAAATTCACGTATGCCGCTTGGCGTAAACGTTAATCTCAGTCTCTCTATTCTTTTTATGATGACTTGGTCTTCGATTCTTGTCTTGTAGAAGTTGATAGGTGGTACCATTTCTGGTTTGTACAACACCTCTACGGCTATTTTTGCACGGGACCAGTTTTCTCCTATCAAAAGTCAAAAATCTTGTAAGCCATGTACGCCACTGACGCGACGACCTCTGCGATCGGTCTGGAATATTCGAACACCCCAACGATTCCTTATAATGAATAACACTCTTATTCTCTTAAATCAAAAGGTTTCTTTGAAATAATGTGAAGCCTAGACGAGGTTAGGTACTGTGCATGTTAGCGTCTGTTAAAAGGAAAAATGGGTGAACGAAGTAACAATTAATGCTCTGTCCATCTCCCTCTGCCTTTGCGAAAACATTTTGAGCATTTGGTCGATGTTTTGGTTAACAAAAGCGCGCCTTCTCATTGGTTGAACAGTGTCGCGTGACCAGTTTTCCCTGTCCCTACGTTTAGGGATATTGCGAACTGATAAAACAATAAATTTTTCCCCATTTGAGCAGGAAGTTAACACTAGATTTTCATGAACTTTGAAACCCCATTAACCGTTGCCGTTGACAACTAGTTTTTATTTGCATAATCATTAAAAATTGTGGTTATCGATACTTTTATATTTTTATCTTTGTTCTCGATAGATAATTTTGTTATGCCGATTTTACAAAGTTTATTAGTAGATATTATTTAGTTTGATTGATTGAGATGCTCTTTTTGGACATCGAGTTTCGGTTACGACACGTGATGAAGTGCAATTTTATTTAAAGTTCTTTCTTTTATCATAATTAACTTGTTTTTGGTCTGTACATAGTTAATTAAAGTGGAATGGTTGCGAAACCATTTTTTATATGTTTTTGTTCGCTGTTTTGGACCTGACCGTGCACAACGTTTAATAGCATTCCTATCATTTTGAACTTACTGACCCATATAAACTGATTGCATTAATTTATTTAGTAATAATTTGTGAACAAAAAGCAAAAGATTGTGCACGATCAGAGACCTTCCAACTTAACATAACCTACAGAACCGCTGTTTTCAACTTTGATGTTTGCCAGTTTTCCTAACCACAGTGCCCCAAAAATAGGGCCACAACGGGTGAGTCCAGAATGGAACTATTTCAGCTCCACTAAGATGGGGCTTTTTTGGTACCAAAATTTGAGGCTAAATTGACCCTTGCATAGGGGCCAAATGAGACCATGTAAAGGGTCAATATGGAAAACACTACTGCCACTTTGGATTTTCCAGTACCCGAAACAGCCCCCTCAAATTCGGGCCTTCTTGGAAACTACCCCTCAGGTCGGGTTATTTTAGTTAGGCAGTTAATGGGTCTTTTTTTCGCGGCTTCCCTTAATTACTGTCAAATAATGAAATCAAACGTAACTTATAGCTTTCAAACATTTATTTAGTGCTAGACAAGTTGCCGTGCTCTTTTCTAGCCAAAAAAAATTAAGTATATCTGTAAACTATGTATCATAACAATGTTTGTTCCAATATATGTAACATAAACTTACCAGGCTCATAAGCTTTGGAATTGGGCAATATAGAGACACCTGAGTGTCAGAGATGTCCAGCGCTGGCTACAAGATCGATCCCTCCTTTCCTTTTTCATCCTTAGTTCTACACTTCCTTGAAGTGTGGAAGTGTGAAATAACCCTTCTTTCCTATCTCATCCCAAGTTCCACACTTCCCAGATGTGTAGAAGTGTGGAATAGTCTGACAGAGCCAGGATAATGTCACACTTTTTCCCTAGTCACGAACCCCTTGTCATTCTTTACTTAGTTCTACACTTCTCATAGTATGAAATAGTCTGACAGAGTCAGGATTATGTCACACTTTTTCCCTAGTCACGAAACCTCTGTCATTCTTTATTTAGTTCTGTACTTTTCAGAGGTGTGGAAGTATGAAATGCTGACAAAGTCAGGATATTGTCGCACTTTTCCGCCAGTCATGAATCCCTTGACATTCTTTCCTATTAGTTACACTCTTATGTATGAAATGAGAATAAAGCGCAGTGGGAGTATTAGTTGGTTTTATTTCTGTTAAAACAAACCCACGTTTCCTCTGTCAGGAAGTCCCCGTCGGTCCTTTTTTAATCTAGTTTATTTATAACGATGGATAGCCTGTGTACAGACGTCCCCTCTGCCTCAGAAAAAAATCGTACACATGCTAATTAAATGATTGATACCATTTGAAGAAATTTGCTTTAAACACCGCTCGATGGGACGTGACAAGGACTGCTAGGAGATTGTCCGAACTATCGATTCTGGTGGACCCAATGCTCATGAAGGGCCATATATGTCGATCATTGATGTAGACTACGAGCAGTCTTTCTTGTTTCTGCAGACCGTCGAGCAAAACGCGAGAAACGCAAATGGCCACGCGCGTGGCTGATGGCGCGAGACGTGTCGCGCGTCTCGCGGTTTCGCCGCTCTCTCGCGCGTGCATTGCTCTCACTAAATCTGAGGAAAAAGACAATGCTCGCAGTCTATCAGTGATGCAAAGGAAAATGTGTCGCAAACAACGTACATCTCGATGGGACGTGACAAGGACTGCTAGGAGATTGTCCGAACTATCGATTCTGGTGGACCCAATGCACATGAAGGGCCATATATATCGATCAGTGATGTAGACTACGAGCAGTCTTTCTTGTTTCTGCAGTCCGTCGAGCAAAACGCGAGAAACGCAAATGGCCACGCGCGTGGCTGATGGCGCGAGACGTTTCGCGCGTCTCGCGGTTTCGCCGCTCCCGCGCGCGTGCATTGCTCTCACTAAATCTGAGGAAAAAGACAATGCTCGCAGTCTATCAGTGATGCAAAGGAAAATGTGTCGCAAACAACGTACAAGAGCTCAAAGGTGTAATGAGAGAGAAAAAATGTGGTGTGAAGTGTTATTAATTATTTTTAGTACTATCACGACCTCATTTTCATTAGGTTGTCGGCCAGAGCAAAATTATTTTAATCCTATCACTTACTAAGTTATTTAATCACGGCCATTAATCCTTTCGCGGCATATAAGTGCATTCTAGCATGAAGCGATACAAATGTTTTGATGTTGTCATCTGACCTCTTTGTGTTTCACCTACAGATTGACACCGAAGTTTGCGAGCAGACCTTCTCTTGGCTGTCAAAATATGAAAAAATGACAAGGAAAATGAACAGAGGACACTGTGTCTTTTTTATGATTTATGTTCAGCACTTACGTAACCTTACAGAAGAGGAAAAACTCCGAAACAGTGGATATATGGCTTGATCTAACAATGATCAAAGTTGAAGCATACTGACAAGGAAGAAAGATTGGTTGGAGATCGGGTTTCTTAACTTGTAACTAACTGGTATTGAAACAATGGTTACATCTTCTATTCAAGATCAAAATAGTTCTTACATGTAAGGAAAAATGGAAAAAACAATACAGAAATAAAACCAAGTGCTTATAAAGCGCACTGAGCGTCTCGTGACTCAGAGAAAGTGCGACATTAAACTCAACTTGTCAAATTAACTATTCCAAACTTCTACACTTCTAAGAAGTGTGGAACTAAGTAAAAAATGACAGGGGGTTCTAACAAGGGGAAAAGTGCAACAATATCCTAACTTTGTCAGACTTTTCCACACTTCCACACCTCTGAGAAGTGAGGAACTTAGTAAGAAGTGAAGAAACTCTGGATTTCATGGCCAGGGGCGGAATTCAGTTGGTTACGATTGTTATAAGAAAAACTACCGGCCCGTCAGCAATCTCGCATTCCTTTCAAAGATCACTGAAAAGGCAGCTGCACTACAAATCTTTGATCACGTGTCATTCAATCAGATGTTTCAAGAATTTCAATCAGCGTACTGCAAATATCACAGTACGGAGACTGCCTTACTGCGCATGCGCAACGACATACTCGTCAGCATGAACAAACAACAAGTCACATTACTAGTGTTCCTAGATCTAAGCGCTGCCTTTGATATAGACCATGATATATTACTGTGGCGCCTGGAATACAAATTTGGAATTAAAGATCAACCACTAACGTGGTTCAAATCCTATCTGTCGAATAGATCCCACCGTATTGTAATTGGCAGTGCAAAGCTAGTCAGACAGTTTTCATCTGAAGTTTGGTGTGCCACAGGGATCCTGTCTCGGCCCAATGCTGTTCTCCCTCTACACTAGTGAGCTTTTTGATGTCATTAGCCAGCACTTGCCAACAGCGAACAGTTACGCCGATGATACCGGTATCTATTTGACATTCAATCCAAACGATGATTCCGATCAAGACACCGCCATTGCGACAATGGAAGCGTGCCTCTGTGACATCCGTGGCTGGATGATCAATGACAAACTCATGATCAATGATTCCAAGACTGAATTTATGCTCACTGGGACGAAGGCGCAGCTATCGAGCTCGAATGGGCTCTGAGTCAATAGGGCCTCGTGGGCTATTGACTCAGACGCCATGAGGGCCAGAGGAATAATATTGTATTAGTAAAATCCAACTAGTTGGTCAAAAATATCGAGAATAAAAAACTTTTAGCCTGCTAAAGCTAGACTTACAACCAGGGGTGTTACAACTGGGGGTTCTTACAACCAGGAGTCTTAAAACCCGGGGTTCCTTCAACCAGGGGTCTTACAACCAGGGTTTCTTACATCCTGGGGTTCTTACAACCATCGGTCTCACAACCAAGGGTTCTTACAACCAGGGGTTCTTACAACTTGGGGCTCTTACAACCAGGGGTCTTACGAATTGGGGTTCTTACAACCAGGTGTCTTACAACCGGGGGTCTTACAACTTGGGGTTATTACAACCAGGTGTCTTCCAACAGGGGGTCTTACAACTTGGGGTTCTTACAACCAGGGGTTCTTACATCCAGGGGTCTTACAACTTGGGGTTATTACAACTAGGGGATCTAACAACCACGGGTTCTTATCACCAGGAGTTATTCAACTGGGGTTTCTTACAACCAGGGGTTTTACAACCAGGGGTCTTACAACCAAGGGTTCTTATAACCAGGGGTTCTTACAATTAGTGGTTCCTACAACCAGGAGTCTTAAAACTTGGGGTTCTTGCAACCTGGGGTCTTACAACAAGGGGTCTTACAACTTGGGGTTCTTATAACCAGGGGTCTTACAACGAGAGGTTCTTACAACCAGGGGTTCTTACAACCAGGGGTCTTACAAGTTGGGGGTGTTACAACCAGGGGTTCTTACCAGCAGGAGTCTTACAACCAGGGGTTCTTACCAGCAGGAGTCTTACAACCGGGGATCCTTACAACCAAGGGTCTTAAAACATGGGGTTGTTACAACCGTGGGTCTTACAAGCTGGGGTCCTTACAACAAGGGGTCTTACAACCAGGGGTTCTTACAACCAAGGGTTCTTACAACCAGGGGTTCTTATAACCAGGGCTCTTACAACCAGGGTTTCTTACAACCGAGGGTCGTACAACTTTGGGTTCTTACAACCAGGGATCTTACAACCAGTGGTTCCTACAACCAGGGGTCTTACAACCAGGGCTGAGTTGCTCAAAGCATGGTTAGCTTTAACCATTGCTTAAGCAGTATCAAAACCAATACGTTGTCAAGGTATCAAACGCTTTTTAACGCTAACCATGCTTCGAGCAACTGGGCCAAGGAGTATTACAACAACGGGTCTTACAACGTGGGGTTCTTACAACCAGGGATTCTTACAACCAGCGGTCTTACAACCGGGGCTTCTTATAACCAGGGGTTCTATTAACCAGTGGTTCCTACAACCGGGGGTCTTACAACTTGGGGTTCTTACAACCAGGGGTCTTACAACGAGGGGTTCTTACATCCGAGGGTCGTACAACTTGGCGTTCTTACAACCAGGGGTCTTACAACTTGGGGTTCTTACAACCAGGGGTCTTACAACGAGGGGTTCTTACATCCGAGGGTCGTACAACTTGGCGTTCTTACAACCAGGGGTCTTACAACTTGGGGTTCTAACAACCAGGTGTCTTACAACCAGGGGTTTTACAACTTGGGGTTCTTACAACCAGGGTGTCTTACAACCGGGGGTTGTTACAACCGGGAGTCTTACAACCAGCGGTCTTACAACCGGGGCTTCTTATAACCAGGGGTTCTATTAACCAGTGGTTCCTACAACCAGGGGTCTTACAACTTGGGGTTCTTACAACCAGGGGTCTTACAACGAGGGGTTCTTACATCCGAGGGTCGTACAACTTGGCGTTCTTACAACCAGGGGTCTTACAACTTGGGGTTCTAACAACCAGGTGTCTTACAACCAGGGGTTTTACAACTTGGGGTTCTTACAACCAGGGTGTCTTACAACCGGGGGTTGTTACAACCGGGAGTCTTACAACCAGCGGTCTTACAACCGGGGCTTCTTATAACCAGGGGTTCTATTAACCAGTGGTTCCTACAACCGGGGGTCTTACAACTTGGGGTTCTTACAACCAGGGGTCTTACAACGAGGGGTTCTTACATCCGAGGGTCGTACAACTCGGCGTTCTTACAACCAGGGGTACTTATAACCAGTGGTTCTTACAACCAGTGGTTCCTACAACCACGGGTCTTACAAGCAGGGGTTCTTACAACCACGGGTCTTACAAGCAGGGGTTCTTACAACCACGGGTCTTACAAGCAGGGGTTCTTACAACCGAGGGTCGTACAACTTGGGTTTTTTACAAGCAGGTGTCTTACAACCGGGGGTTCTTATAACCAAGGGTTCTTACAACCAGTGGTTCCTACAACCAGAGGTCTTACAACCGGGGGTTCTTATAACCAAGGGTTCTTACAACCAGTGGTTCCTACAACCAGAGGTCTTACAACTTAGGGTTCTTACAACCAGGGGTGTTAAAACCAGGGGTTCTTACAACCAGGGGCCTTACAACTTGGGTTCTTACAACCAGGGGTTTTTACAATTAATGGTCTTACAATCAGGGGTTCGTACCATCAGGGGTTCTTACAACCAGGAGCCCGTTTCTCGAAAGTCCCCATAATTAACGGGCCCGGTAAGCTGTCTCCGTCTACATTAAAGATCGAGGTTTCAATAGTTTTGCATCTAACGTGATAAAACTGTCAGTTAATGAAACAAAATGGAGTTGTTTGCTAGCCAGGACCCGCGTTCTTATTCTTTATATTTCGATTTGAATATTTGATTTCGGGCCCGTAAAGTTACCGGGACTTTCGAGAAACGGGCCTCAGGGGTCTTACAATCATGGGTTCTCACAACCAGAGATTCTGATAACCAGAGGTCTTACAAGCAGGAGTATTACAACCATTACTTCTTACAACAAGTGGTCTTACAAGCAGGGGTTCTTACCACCAGGGGTCTTATAACTAGTGGTCTTACAACCAGGGGTCTTTTAACCAGGGGTCTTACGAGCAGGAGTATTACAACCATTACTTCTTACAACAAGTGGTCTTACAAGCAGGGGTCTTACAACCAGGGGTGTTACAACTTGGGGTTCTAACAACCAGGTGTCTTAGAACCTTGGGTTCTTACAACTTGGGGTTCTAACAACCAGGTGTCTTACAACCAGGGGTTTTAGAACCTGGGGTTGTTACAATCAGGGCCCCGTTGTTCGAAGCCCGATTAGCGCTAACCCAGGGTTAAATTTTAACCCGGGTTTCTTTTTCTTTTGTTCAGAAGTATTTCCCGGGTAATTTCCTCTCTTCTTTTAGAGCATCCAATCATCAATTTGTTGGCACAAAGAATAAAACTGAATTTGCTTCTCAAGCTTTCATATCTGAAATCAAATTTCGCACCAACCGTGGGTTAACTTAACCCTCCTTTGAACAACCCGGCCCAGGGGGTCTTACAACCAGGAGTCTTATAACCAGGGGTTCTTACAGCCAGGGGTCTTACAACCAGGGATCTTTCAACCGGGGGTTCTTATAACTAGGGGTTGTAAGACTACAGGGGTTTGACTGGGAAAAGGGAAAATAGTTTCTCAGTTCGAATTATCCAGGAGTTTGGATAAACTCGAACGTTCAAGAAATCGGGTTTGTAACGTAAATAACACATAAAATTCCAAACAGAAATACTGAACAAACACGTTGTGAGTTAAAATTGTTTTACTTTGCGTAAAGACTAAATCAAATTGCTGATGAGTCATGACATATGTTATTGCCCCATTTTTAACCGTTTTTGTATGTACAACCACTTTAAGCAGTAACTTAGACAATAACTCAACAAGTATATTTATATGCACTGCTACATTTTCTCTTCGGTGTTCCTGTAGCTTTCCGTTTTAACCATTACAATTTCCTCAAATTTGATTGGTGCACTAACTGCTTTATTTTTCACTAATCATTGTGTACTGAGTTGTAATCGGACAGTTACATTAGCCAACCACATTAACTGCACTCAGGTAAATCCAACAAAACCCGGAAGTTATCGCAATAACCATAGCAACGACCACTTACCATACCAAACCGGGAATTTTCCAAAATGGACGAATTTGTTAGGGCTAAAAAAATTTGTTAGGGCTAAAAGCGAAGCTCTGGTCAATAATACGTGTAAACAAAAAAATTAAATCGTGTAATGCTAAACGGGGACGACAATGAAAATGGCTTCAAGACTAATAGATCTAATTAGCAAAAAACAAATTGCACGTGCAGCACACCTTTTCTTCTAATTAGCAAAAAACAAATTTGCACGTGCAGCACGCTTTTTTGTCTTTCCCTTGCCGTTGTTTTGCACAACTACAACGCTGTTTTGCACGACTAAAACGTCAAACTTCGTTGTTACACATTATTTTTGTGGAGGAATTGTCGTATGTGCTTACCCAATATTTTGTTTCCTGTGTTCATGTTCGCTTTTATTTTTCACTGCCGCTCATTTTCACCTTGCTGTCCGCTAGCATTTCTCATTTTCTCACTGCCGCTTTGAACTTCCATGTTTTTCTTGCTACCAAATTCGTCTCCTTTGTTTTCAATAACTCGCTCTAGCTCTTTCTTTGTTATCCACGTTAGTGTAAACATAAAAAATAACGCCGAAAAAGACACGACTTTGTTGTTGTTTTTTCTTTCTAAAAGTCCGGGCGGCCATGTAATTTCCTTCCAACCTGATGATTGAGTCATTTTACATTGGTATGCCTGTGGTGTGGACGGACGGTCGGTGTACGGTCACGTGATTACCAAATTTTCTCGGATGGGTAGATTACCAAATTTCCTTAGCTATGGGGCTCTGCCCACTCGCGGCGCGAAGCGCCGCGCGTGGAGCTCCGCTATTAATTTCCTTAATGTTGGCCATTTGGTATTAAAAGCTCTTTCACCAAAAAAGAATGCATTAATTTTTTCGGAAATTGTAACGGTTATTATTAATTGGTAACAGGACTTCGTGTCGTCCAATTCGGTCTGTAATAATACTCGTGGTTAAGCAAATCGGACTCCCGCGATTTTGTTAATCACTCGTATGATAGACCTATTCGGCTAACTCAATGTTGTACCAAATTCAAATCTCCCGGGCATAAGATTCTTTGTGTATTGTATTTGCATTATAATGTGGCATTCACATTTAAATGATATGGAAATTCCTGAAACAAAAGGTTTAAATTCCCAAAGGGTTTGAATTGGGTACAACATTGAGTTAGCCGAATAGGTCTATTACAGACCGAATTGGACGACACGAAGTTCTACTACCATTATTAGCAAATTACTGATTGTTTTAAAAACAGGCACTTTGGCCGTATTACTATAAAGCTGGATCTGACATGTCCATGTTGAGTTTACCGAAATTCCACGTATGGCACTTTATAGTACAACATTGCTACAATCAATCACATGTACTTGATGAAAAAAAGGGGTTAGGTTTAAGTTGCAGTCTTAAACCTTAAGACAATGCGAAGATGAAGACGACAACCACGAAGTCAGAATGGCCAATTTATACAGTGACTTTGCTTTAGGACATTTCCTCTGCTATAACAAGGAAAAATGTCGGGAAAGTGCATCAATCTGACTTCACTAGTGCAACGGTAAAAGCTAAAATCCTTTACAACACTAGCTAGAAAAATTTGTCCAGTTTCGGCAATGTATAAAACGTTTTAGCAAACAGCTTCTTGTACCGAGTGGTAATGAGGCCATTTTTCCATTCCTAAGAGATACTGGTTATTGGCCCGGTAAAACTGCATCATCTCTTCAAGGTTCCTGTTGCCATCTACGACCTGGAAAACAAGTTTTCTGTAGTTAAAAAATAGTCGAAAATAGTTTTTTTGTAATGTTCATATAACGTTCAATAATACCAGATGTAACATGTCTGCTTTTAACTGTGTATTAAATCGTTGTTTATCTCTTTAATGCTTGTAGAAGATCTAAAACTTATCGTTGGAACTAAAATCTCAACATTCTCTCACTACGATCACCAGCGTGCTATTTTCTCACCAAAGTCATACGATACTTATTTTTGAGGGTCTCCCTAACCCTAAAAGAAATCCTAATCAACGCCAAACCTAAATTGCGTAACATCAGTTCTCGACACACTCCCCCCATACGTCTCTGGAGGAGATATATGTCTTTCAAAGTATAATCTATATAGATATGTAATCAAACGGAAATCACCCACGTAACAAAACAAATGTCTGAGTTAATAGCTCTAGATCTTGGGGTCAATGTAAAACAACCGACAATTCTCCATCTTGGGTAATATCCTGTAAACGCAGACGTGCTGTGACGGCAGCATCCCGTCTTGGGCGGAAGGGAGCAACCTCCGGGTTTATCCTCACCAGTGTGGGTAATTGTCTGTCATACGAAAGCTCCAGGGGGTACAAATGTTGAAAAGGTCGCTGAACACAAGAATTGCCGCAGCCCGTGCGCAACCTCGCTCCTCTGACAACTTCATCATTTCCTACGACTGCGCCACTGTTTCACGGTGCCACTGTTTCAGTGTTCTACTGTGTCACTGTTCCACTGTTCTACTGTCCGTCTGTTCCAGTGTGCCACTGTTCCATTGTGCCACGGTTCCACCGAACCACAGTGCAACTGTGCCACTATTTCACTGTACCACTGAGCCACAGTTCCACTGTATCACTGCTCCACTATACCACTGTGCGAATGTTCCAGCGTGCCACTGTTTCACTGAACCACGGTGCAACTGTAGCACTGTTCTTCTGTGCCACTGTTCTACTGTGCCACTGTTCAACTGTGCCACTGCTCCACTGTTCACCGGGCCATTGCTCCACTGTGCTTAACTAGTGTGCTACTGTGCTACTGTTCCACTGTGATGCTGTTCTACTGTGCCATGTTCCACTGTGCAGCTGTTCCACTGCTTTACTGTGCCACTGTTTCACTGTGTAACTGTTCCTCTGTGCCACTGTTCCTCGTTTCACTTTGCTGCGGTTCTACTGTTTCACTGTGCCACTGTTTCACTGAACCACTGTTCCAGTGTTCCACTGTTCCACTATTCTACCGTTCCGGTGGGCCACGTTCCACTGGGCCAGTGTTACAATGTGCCACTGTGCCTCGCTGCAACTGTGCCTCTGATTCACTGTTCCAGTGTGCCACGGTTGCACGGAACCAAGGTGCAACTATAGCACTGTTCTTCTGTGCCACTATTCTACTGTGCCACTGCTCCACTGTTCCACTGGGCCATTACTCCACTGTGCTCATCTACTGTGCTACTATGCCACTGTCCAATTTTCCACTGTTCTACGGTACCACTGTTCTACTGTGCCACGTTCCACTGTGCTGCTGTTCTACTGTGCCACTGGGCCACTGTGCAGTTGTTCCACTGCTTTACTGTGCCACTGTTTCACTGTGCAACTGTTCCTCTGCGTCACTGTTCTACTATTCCATTTTGCGACTGTTTTAGTGTGCCACTGTTCCATTGTTCCACGGCTCCACTGAACCACGGTGCAACTGTACCACTGTTCCTCTGTGCCACTGCTCTACGTACTGTGCCACTGTTCCACTGCTTCACTGGGCCACTGTTTGACTGAGCCACTGTTGCACCAGGCCATTGTTCCACTGTCAAACTACGAGCCAAGGTTGCGGACGGCAGAACTTACAATTGGCACTGATGCTTGACCAATCTCTAGGCGTGCAATACTAACTTTATCAAGTTGTTCCTGAGTAACAATTAGAATGACCTCGGTTTGTGTTCATTAAGCTTTAGCTGGTCCGCCGCCATCCATGCCCTAATGTCTTCAATATGTTCTTGCACAGCATCCACGGCTTCAGTCTGGTTGTCCCCAGGATCCGGCTTAAAAGATACATAGAGCTGAGTATCGCCTGCGTAGGGGTGCACATCCGGAGGTGAGCCTTGGCTATTTCAAACAACTTGCTAGCGTAGATTTGGCTCTTCTGCTCTTTCTACAACGCCCGCTTTGTTCTGATCTTGAATAATCTCCTGTCGTTTGTTTAGACTATTAAGACGGCGCAGACTTGCCTCTTTATTGTTTGGTAACACTGCACAGGATGGTCTCCTCGCCAGGGCAGACCAGTTTCATACCAACCCTCCTTATCTCGCATAAGCTGCTCTTATATTCAGCATACACGCTACTTGGTCGTTCGGGGCTGTGTCAGACAACCCAAGTACATCAAGGCCACGAAGTTCTTCGTAATCGACATGTGACGTTTGCTTTAACAACACGTTTGATAGGTGTAGAGGCTCCTTTCCTGGCGACATGATGATTCAGCCGACTTTTGTTCATTCGGCAATCGGCTGACGAGGCTCGCCGATTTTCGGTGCACTTTCTGTTTTCAGTTTCGAGTATTCACCGGCTCCAAGTATCAGGTGCACTGGTAGGCGACGCTTTGTGTCCAGATCTCTCATTGCGACTCCCGACAGCTGCGGATACCTTGCAATCATTTCTTGATACTTGGGGTTATCAAGAAAAAGCAACTCTCCTTTACCCACTCTTGTAAACTCCACAGGCATTGAAAACTTTCTATTGACGTCAGTAATGTCAATCATCGCCAGATTTACTTATCTTGTTGACGTCCCCAGTAACATGTCTATCTTTCGGACTTCTTTCTTTCACTTACCACTTGATACACGGTCTAGAAGCGCGGCAAATACATAGGAACTTCCGGCACCTGTGTCCAACAGAGCTCTGCATTTTATTCCTTAGACTTCAACAATAACAACTGGATACATGAATTGGTGGAATTCCTGTGGCGATAAGCAATGCAAAGGCATTGCTGATGTATGATGTTTTCGATTACAAATCTGACAGGTTATGAGCTCGAGACGTATGGCATGGCAGACAACTACATTTTCTACTTTTAACAAAGTAGGTGGGTAGGAGTAATCGCAAGCACTTTTCATTTCAGCGACGTTTTTCCTGCCGTCGCAGTCCCCGGATGATGAGCTCGCGTCTGGCTGAGACTGAACGCATTGGGACGTAAACATGAAGTTAAAGGACCTTTAATCACAGATGCACACCAGCAAATTAATCCCTTCGTGTAGCTTGAGAAAACAACTGACATTTCACGACGCCGCGACTGGTTTCCTCACGAAATGACACGCAGAAATTCCATACTGATGACGTGCGCTACCCAGACTTCGTCAGTGTGGAAATTTTGCGCTCGTTCCGCGGGGAAACCAGTGGTGGTGGCGCGAAGTGTCAGCTGTTACCTCACCTCTGCTGCTGGAAAATAAGTTGCGTTTTTTAGCTTACCATAACTGGAGCAGGTACAGGAAATTTTTCTTGAATTAGCCACTCCTCATGTCTTTCATGTAACGCACACAGAAGTTCCTGTCATTAAAGACGCGTTAAGTGCATTAGTTAGGAATAAACCCTAAAACATTACGCCCTACATTTACTCTTTCTTGAGTCACAAAACAATAATATTTTGTATTTTTACCTACCATGGGGAGAGTTTTTTCTTCAGTTCGAGATCTTGCCTTAATCCTCTGCATGCATGTTTCAGGTGAAGTCCTCAGGTAAACTAGAATATTATTAAAGATTAAACAGGTCAATCCAACGTCAGTTCACAAGGTCTGGAGAAGCTTAGGAACGAATGAGGTGGCAGTTCAATCAACCATTTTAAAAAAGTACTAAAAGATATTATAATTTTTCTGTGGAGGGAATAATACAAAGTCTGAAGAAACTCAGGCTAAAACGAAGACCCCGTTTGTTCTCCAGCGAAGTCAAATTTAGCAAGCATGTATGGCGGAGCTCTTTCGCGCGCGAAGCGCGCGCGTTGGAGAACCATAGGTAAGAAAATTTGGTTACCTACGCATCCAAGAAAGTTAGCCCTAAAGCTAGGAGGGTAACCCTACTATCACAAAAGAGTGAACCGGCTGGGTGGGTCACCCCTCTAGCTGAGCCAACTTTTTGTTTATCATGTAAATGATTTGCCACATTTTGTAAGACAATGTATGGAAAGTTGGTTCACCAACGGCAGCTTGAGTAGGTAGGTGACCGGCCAGGCATAGATTACCATATTCCTACCTCTCACAAACAAGAAACCTTACTTAATTGTCATTATCTTTGTGTGAAATTGGTCCTATTAATCACAGACTGGTGTGAAAGTCACTAAGTTGGGTTCAATGCATATTAGTCTCTATAATTTTCTCCCTTCTAATGAACAGGATTTCTCAAAAACACTGACAGTCTTAAGTGCACTTCTTTTAAAATCTTTAGGATAATATTGTTGTATCTTCAGTGGCATTGTTGAGCAAACTTCTACTCAAATATTTTAGCACTTACTTATCAAATCCAGTTGCGGTTGCTGCCTTTTTGTAATCCAGTCAAACCACTCATGGTGCACTGAATGCTCTGCGGAAGACATCATTCCACTGGAAAAACAAGGGAAAAGACTTTTTTAAATATACTAAGGGGGTAAATAACTGTGCTCAAACACCAACCCTCCCCCCTCCCCCACCCCCCCTCATAGCTCAAAAAAGAAGGAAAATATTTTGTGGACCAGCTAATAACAGTTTACGTTCTCAACAAATATTTTTTAGCAATTATTTTTGCCTTTTAGAGAAATAAATACCAAATGCAAATGCATCTGTTATAAATATATGAGTTATACCCACACTCCATTTAACCTTGTTACCAGCAGTAAAACATAGTAAATAGTTTATTAACTCAGAAGATTAACAGTTTACATTCTCAACAAATATTTTTTTAGCAATTATTTTTCCCTTTATAATAGAGAAATAAATACCAAATGCAAAGGCATCTGTTATAAATATATGAGTTATGTCCACAATCCATTTAACCTTGTTACTAACAGTAAAACATAGCAAATAGTTTATTAACTTAGAAGATTAAGTGACTGTACAGAACTTTGTGTACCTTTTGCAAAGGTTGTGCTCAAAGCAATAGTATCCACTGTAAACACTTCTTTCAATCATTTTCACAGGAGTCACCTATTAAAATGATGATTCAATCATTGAAAAACTGTTTTCCTAACATTAGACACATTTTCACTGTGCAACTGTTCCTCTGCGTCACTGTTCTACTATTCCATTTTGCGACTGTTTTAGTGTGCCACTGTTCCATTGTTCCACGGCTCCACTGAACCACGGTGCAACTGTACCACTGTTCCTCTGTGCCACTGCTCTACGTACTGTGCCACTGTTCCACTGCTTCACTGGGCCACTGTTTGACTGAGCCACTGTTGCACCAGGCCATTGTTCCACTGTCAAACTACGAGCCAAGGTTGCGGACGGCAGAACTTACAATTGGCACTGATGCTTGACCAATCTCTAGGCGTGCAATACTAACTTTATCAAGTTGTTCCTGAGTAACAATTAGAATGACCTCGGTTTGTGTTCATTAAGCTTTAGCTGGTCCGCCGCCATCCATGCCCTAATGTCTTCAATATGTTCTTGCACAGCATCCACGGCTTCAGTCTGGTTGTCCCCAGGATCCGGCTTAAAAGATACATAGAGCTGAGTATCGCCTGCGTAGGGGTGCACATCCGGAGGTGAGCCTTGGCTATTTCAAACAACTTGCTAGCGTAGATTTGGCTCTTCTGCTCTTTCTACAACGCCCGCTTTGTTCTGATCTTGAATAATCTCCTGTCGTTTGTTTAGACTATTAAGACGGCGCAGACTTGCCTCTTTATTGTTTGGTAACACTGCACAGGATGGTCTCCTCGCCAGGGCAGACCAGTTTCATACCAACCCTCCTTATCTCGCATAAGCTGCTCTTATATTCAGCATACACGCTACTTGGTCGTTCGGGGCTGTGTCAGACAACCCAAGTACATCAAGGCCACGAAGTTCTTCGTAATCGACATGTGACGTTTGCTTTAACAACACGTTTGATAGGTGTAGAGGCTCCTTTCCTGGCGACATGATGATTCAGCCGACTTTTGTTCATTCGGCAATCGGCTGACGAGGCTCGCCGATTTTCGGTGCACTTTCTGTTTTCAGTTTCGAGTATTCACCGGCTCCAAGTATCAGGTGCACTGGTAGGCGACGCTTTGTGTCCAGATCTCTCATTGCGACTCCCGACAGCTGCGGATACCTTGCAATCATTTCTTGATACTTGGGGTTATCAAGAAAAAGCAACTCTCCTTTACCCACTCTTGTAAACTCCACAGGCATTGAAAACTTTCTATTGACGTCAGTAATGTCAATCATCGCCAGATTTACTTATCTTGTTGACGTCCCCAGTAACATGTCTATCTTTCGGACTTCTTTCTTTCACTTACCACTTGATACACGGTCTAGAAGCGCGGCAAATACATAGGAACTTCCGGCACCTGTGTCCAACAGAGCTCTGCATTTTATTCCTTAGACTTCAACAATAACAACTGGATACATGAATTGGTGGAATTCCTGTGGCGATAAGCAATGCAAAGGCATTGCTGATGTATGATGTTTTCGATTACAAATCTGACAGGTTATGAGCTCGAGACGTATGGCATGGCAGACAACTACATTTTCTACTTTTAACAAAGTAGGTGGGTAGGAGTAATCGCAAGCACTTTTCATTTCAGCGACGTTTTTCCTGCCGTCGCAGTCCCCGGATGATGAGCTCGCGTCTGGCTGAGACTGAACGCATTGGGACGTAAACATGAAGTTAAAGGACCTTTAATCACAGATGCACACCAGCAAATTAATCCCTTCGTGTAGCTTGAGAAAACAACTGACATTTCACGACGCCGCGACTGGTTTCCTCACGAAATGACACGCAGAAATTCCATACTGATGACGTGCGCTACCCAGACTTCGTCAGTGTGGAAATTTTGCGCTCGTTCCGCGGGGAAACCAGTGGTGGTGGCGCGAAGTGTCAGCTGTTACCTCACCTCTGCTGCTGGAAAATAAGTTGCGTTTTTTAGCTTACCATAACTGGAGCAGGTACAGGAAATTTTTCTTGAATTAGCCACTCCTCATGTCTTTCATGTAACGCACACAGAAGTTCCTGTCATTAAAGACGCGTTAAGTGCATTAGTTAGGAATAAACCCTAAAACATTACGCCCTACATTTACTCTTTCTTGAGTCACAAAACAATAATATTTTGTATTTTTACCTACCATGGGGAGAGTTTTTTCTTCAGTTCGAGATCTTGCCTTAATCCTCTGCATGCATGTTTCAGGTGAAGTCCTCAGGTAAACTAGAATATTATTAAAGATTAAACAGGTCAATCCAACGTCAGTTCACAAGGTCTGGAGAAGCTTAGGAACGAATGAGGTGGCAGTTCAATCAACCATTTTAAAAAAGTACTAAAAGATATTATAATTTTTCTGTGGAGGGAATAATACAAAGTCTGAAGAAACTCAGGCTAAAACGAAGACCCCGTTTGTTCTCCAGCGAAGTCAAATTTAGCAAGCATGTATGGCGGAGCTCTTTCGCGCGCGAAGCGCGCGCGTTGGAGAACCATAGGTAAGAAAATTTGGTTACCTACGCATCCAAGAAAGTTAGCCCTAAAGCTAGGAGGGTAACCCTACTATCACAAAAGAGTGAACCGGCTGGGTGGGTCACCCCTCTAGCTGAGCCAACTTTTTGTTTATCATGTAAATGATTTGCCACATTTTGTAAGACAATGTATGGAAAGTTGGTTCACCAACGGCAGCTTGAGTAGGTAGGTGACCGGCCAGGCATAGATTACCATATTCCTACCTCTCACAAACAAGAAACCTTACTTAATTGTCATTATCTTTGTGTGAAATTGGTCCTATTAATCACAGACTGGTGTGAAAGTCACTAAGTTGGGTTCAATGCATATTAGTCTCTATAATTTTCTCCCTTCTAATGAACAGGATTTCTCAAAAACACTGACAGTCTTAAGTGCACTTCTTTTAAAATCTTTAGGATAATATTGTTGTATCTTCAGTGGCATTGTTGAGCAAACTTCTACTCAAATATTTTAGCACTTACTTATCAAATCCAGTTGCGGTTGCTGCCTTTTTGTAATCCAGTCAAACCACTCATGGTGCACTGAATGCTCTGCGGAAGACATCATTCCACTGGAAAAACAAGGGAAAAGACTTTTTTAAATATACTAAGGGGGTAAATAACTGTGCTCAAACACCAACCCTCCCCCCTCCCCCACCCCCCCTCATAGCTCAAAAAAGAAGGAAAATATTTTGTGGACCAGCTAATAACAGTTTACGTTCTCAACAAATATTTTTTAGCAATTATTTTTGCCTTTTAGAGAAATAAATACCAAATGCAAATGCATCTGTTATAAATATATGAGTTATACCCACACTCCATT